GCACTTCAATGAAATGTTGAGGTTTAAATCATAAGACATGGGAAAATGGCTTGCAGGACAGCTCTTGTCATTTAGAGGTAGTTCTTATATGCTACCTGCTGACTTGTTTTAGAGTTTATCACTCACTGTTCCTTGTAACATGGCACTTGTCATTTAGAGGTAGTTCTCATACGCTACCTGCCGACAAGCTCAGAGTTTATCACTTACCGAAAAAAGTGAGTACTGTGCAAGTCATGGGCAGAGGATTTAATCGAAGTAAAGAAAACTCACGCTCCTTTGGTGCTCTTCTATTGGTTTTTGTTTTACCTTTTTCTCGCTTTTGTCGTTCTTACTATAATTTTCGAAAAAGTGGGCATTTTGGCTTACCCCTTTCAAAAGATCGGCATTGTTTACTTCTACCAAATTGGGATAGACTTAGTAGAAAGCAACTATGTGTTTTGTTGATTTACAAATGCAGCGCTATGGTACGGAGATGGATACAGTACTCTCATTTAGAAGATACTCAAGTTGAGTCAGTGTGCGAAACAAGTTCTAAAAATAAAACAAACGTTTTATAACAAGATATAATAATTAGTTGCAGTTATTATATAATTTTTATTACTATGGTGCCTGTCATAGCTACCTTCTCTTTTTTCATTTTTTTCATCTCTGTTCAATTTATGTTAGACTACTTTAGAATTTTGTTTCTTTTTTTGTTTTTTTTTTCTACTGTGAGGTTTTTTTTTCTAAGATGTTTAGGTCTTTCGTAAACATGGCTTTAAATTTTTTCTTTTATGTATGAATAAGGGTTAATGATTTAGTCAGGCTTAGGTAAAAGAAGTTTGAAAAAAGGGGAGGTAGTCATGACAGGCGGTAGGTACCATCTGTTGAAAGCCGGCCAATATCTGATTTCAGGAGGGGCCGGATAGAGGAGAAACCTACTATAGCAGGTCGCATATAGGTGCCAATTGGGGTAACCAGGTGAGTCACAACTTGTAATTTAGGTATAGTTGTGTGGCTCTCAGGTGCGGCGCATGTCGTTTAGAGATAGTTCTTATATGCTATCTGCCGACATGTTCAGAGTTTATCACTTACCAATAAGTCTCTCTAAATTTTTGATAGTCTAAATGACTATTACAAAGCCTAATAAAGTTGTGGCATGATTGCCGAATTTGAACAAAAAAAAAAAAAATTACTAAATAAAAAGTTATTAAATATTAAATTTGATGTATTTGTATTAAAAATCATTAATTTACTATATAGTCCTGTGCAAAAAGGTTTGTATCTTAATATAAAAGGAAATAATCATTATAATAATATAAAGAACCAAATATGCTAAAATTTGTATGACCAATAGAATATATTTAGACATATTTGTTTTACAAATTCTTTTGATTTTCTCATATCTAGTTTTTGTAAAAAACAAACAAATACTCTGTTAACAGACAATAAAAATAGATGGTAATCAATGTTCACAGATACCTTTCAGATAATATCTTCATTAGCAAAAATATATATATATATCATTATGCAAGCAAGTTGCTCTGATTACTGGCATTTCTAAGAGTACAGTTGTGGTAATAAACTTTAGATATAAGAATTAAGCAAATCTCATAATTGTTAAATTGAATGTAATGTTTTACTGTTTTGTCTTTGCTATTATATTCATGATATGTATTTCGATCTGATGTATAATTAGACTCCTCTTAAACATGATACAGAACAAATACTATATAAAAGAACTATGCTATAAGCAGATGCATTGAAATTAAAATTTTTTAATATATAAATTTTTTTTATCTTCAATCTGAATTAGTCAGATTTTTGTTTCTTTTTACTTTTATTATTTTTTTTATAGTTTATTTTATTTTATTTTTATTATACCTTAAATTATATTTTTTTCTATGGTTTATTTTTTTTACCTTTATTTTACAGTCTTATTAATTCATTCTAGCCTCCATTGGATTCATTGCTTTGGAGTCACCTGTTGAATCGCTGTTTTAAAGTTGTAATTGCTTTTAGAGTCACTGTGGCTTTTGATATATCATTGCTTTTGGTGTTGCAAGACTTTTGGTATGTTGTCATTCTTGGTGCTTCTTTAGCTGTTACTGGAGTAATCATTTTTGATGTTTTTGTTGTTGCTTTGGTTAGGTGTTTTTACTAATAATGCTGCTCAAAACTTCATAGTTTCAGGTTAACCAAAACCAAAACTGGTATTATTTGTCTAAACTCTAAAACTATGCCAAAATTTCAAAACTATACCAAAATTTCAAAATTATGCCAAAATTCTATAACTTGAAAAATTAAGAATTTAATAATAATTTGGTATTATTTTATTTCTAACAATCATTCTCCTGATACAATCTCCACCCCAACTCTCTGACAACCTCTTTATTAACACAACTACCTATCTGGCAACCATTTACTTGACAAATATTTCTCTAATAACTACCCTATTCTTTATACTATTACTTACCTAATAACAATCTCTTCTCTAATGACAAATCTTTTCCAACACCACCTTTTCTAGACACCATTCTTTTCTGATACCACCTTCCCCAAAATCATCTTTCTTCAATATCACTATTCTCTAACACCAAATTTTTTCAAACATCATTCTTCCCAACACCCTCTTTCTAAACACCAATTTTCTACAACACCACTCTCCCAGCACCAACTTTCTCTTTCTTGATACCACTCTTTCCAGACACCATTTTTTCTAAACACTATTCTTTCCCAGCACTACCCTTCTCTAATATTTCTTTTCCAACATTACCCTTCTCTAAACACTTTTTCATTAATTTCGCTACAACACTACTACTTATTTAAAAACAATTATAAAAAAAATTAAAAAATCTAAGTTATAAAAAATTACCATCTAAGTAAAAAAAACAATCAAATCATAATTTAATTAAAAAATATTTTAAATTATTGTAGTTTGATTAATTTTTTTATAAATAAATAATTATGATTGCAATTGCTAAAGCCAGCCAATTTATCATGAATTTGAGTTTGTATCAAGTTAGGATTTATGATAAATTGACCGGCTTTAACAATTATAATCGCAATTACAATTATTTGATCATAAAAAAAAGTAATTATAAGAGTCACAAAACTATGCAAACCGCAATAATATATATATTTTTTAAAAAAAACATTTAAATTAAAAAAAATTAAGTAATTATAATAAGTTATTGCAGTTTGCAAAAAAATATGAAATCAAAAAAACTCTTTCCAATAATCATTTGTACCAAAAATCAAAACACATTTTTTGTAAAAACACAATAGCATTTAGTAAAACACAGAGGCATACTAGTTGCTATAAGTTGGCAGTTGTTATTTAGAGGTAGTTTTCATATATTACCTGCTAACTTCTTTAGAGTTTATCACTCACCGCAAGCATGGCACTTGTCGTTTAGAAGTAGTTTTCATACGCTACTTGCTAACAAGCCCAGAGTTTATCACTCACTGAAAAGAGAGTATAGGTGCCCCACCTCTTTTCTAGAAGAAGGTTTAGGAGTTGTTGAGTCTTTATATAGATGTAACTACTTTTCTTAGGTACAAGTGGTCTTTACCTAGGTGTTTTTTGCTTGGCCAGTCTTCTCCAAAATTTTTGACAAAAAGTGAGCAATTTGCTTACTTCTTCCAAAAGATTGGCATTGTTTACCTCCCAAATTCGAACATACCCAGGAATGCAACCATGTGCCTTGTTTATCAGTGAATACGATATGCAACATAGTCTATGGATATGGGAACCCCACATAACTGAGATCGGGTCTCTGGCATAAGAGGCATCCAGAGGTGGCTAGTAGTTGGATAATAATTTGTTAGATTTTATAGTCGAGATATACAAACATTGCAGTTGTTATAAAATTTTTTCTTAAACCTGGCACGGGTTATAATAGTGTATTTTTCTTTTTTTTTCATTTTATTTGTACTATTTCTTAATAGAGGTAGTTTCCCCTTTGTTGGCCCTCGGGCTTTTCTCTTTGTTTTTCTTTTTTTTACATTTCATTGTACATCCTTTTATTTCCTTTAAAATTTTCTCTTTGTTTTATTTGTTTTTTTTAGTTAGTTTTTTGTTTTATTTTCTTGGTATTATTGGTGGTTTTGTATTAAATATAAGATTATCACTTTCTTTTGCTCTCAGTAAAGAAAGAGAATATGAAGGAAAAAGCTTTGATGGGCTGACAAAGTTTATCTAACTTGTATACAGGTTGGTGCAACAAGTCACATGTGGGTATGTTAATTGCAGCTGGATAATATTAGGCTCACAATCGCAAGACTCCCTGTTTAGGTTATGAATGATGTATATTGTTTAAAAGAGTTCAACTCTCACCAAAATATAGTCTTAAATAAATTGAGCACTGGCAAGACTATCAAAGAATTAAAAAATATATATATATATATAAAATTTGCAAATTAAAAAAAAAAGAAATCATATCGATTCTTTGAATCATTAATATATCACAAAATTATTATACAATTGATAAAAAATTTTTTTATATTATTTTACAATACAATTTTGAAAGGCGTGCTTGACTTATCTTTTCTATAAATTGAAAATAGTTAAACAAACATAAAGCTCTTACTTTGCTTTACAACATATTTTTTAAATCTCCTTGAATTCCATGGTTTTGTCTTTTTATAAATTTCGTAATTTGATTAGTTGACTAATCCCATAGTCATATTTTAACTGGTCAATACAATGAGTAATCTGTGTAATAAAGAAATGGTTTCTTCTGTTATCGTTTACATTTTATTGCAGTTTGAATCCTATGGTTAATTTTTTTTGTTTAATTATTATAATTGTGATAGCTATTGCTAAAGCTAGTCAATTTATAAATTTGAGCCTAATACAAACCCAGATTTATAATAAATTGGATAGCTTTAGCAATCGCGGTTGCAAACACAAATATTTATTGTGGTTTGAAAAAAAATATAAAATTTGCAGATCAAAAAAAAAAGTAATCAATGATTTCTGATTCTGATTGCTAATTTTTTAAACATTTTTTTGCAGAAATAAAAGTTGTAGATTCATAATTTTGTAATATATTTTGATTTAACATCTTTTGTAGAAATATATTTTGCATACTCT